ATTCCTGCTTCAAAATTTAGCCTGACTTCACTCCCTTGTCATTGTCATCTCTCAAGTCCTGCATTTTTCAGCAGTTATCCCTATGCAAAGTGATAACACACCTTTGCTATTGGCATGGGGGAATACGATCTAATGCTCCAAAATTTGACGTTGGTACTTTCAAATGTTTCTAAATTGTTATTTACGTTTTTTGGTTCCCCCTCCCCCCATCAGGAGATGTTATACAATGGATTTCAGACATTTCTGGTGTCATTAAGTCATCCATATGTGAATGTTATGTTTTTCAAAAGTGTTGAGTTGAATTAGGACTGAACTTTGTAATATTTATTTTTTATTTTTTTTTCACAAGGGTGCTCAGGGCCGAGAAGGTAAAATTGGATTCCCAGGACCTCCTGGAATTGCTGAGCCAGGGTTACCTGTAAGTCAATGATACATGCAGTGGAGATGAAAAGGTAATAAAATACATCTTAGTAAATGCAACTGTTTGGTAGCAGCTGTATTGGCTACTGATTCTGTAAACCACCTTGTACTTAGTCTGGAGCAGCAAAAGTGTGTTTGGCTATGCCAGTCCAACACTGCAGCAGTATTTGCATGTGGGTTGCCCAAGCAGGAGAATAAAACTATGTCCAAAGAAGTTCTGGGGAGATAAAAATTGCTTGGTCTATGTGAGCAGGATTACACTATCCAGTTTTCAGAAAGACTTGGAGTTATATATAAATAGCTGGACACCAACTTGTTAAAGTTGAGAATAATCTTTAAAAATCATCTAAAATCAAATTTCAGGAAGATAAAAATCCAAGAGTTGAGACATTCCTCAACTCCTGTGTGTAATTTGGATTCTATCGAAAACAAAGACCCAAATTATATGCTTTTAATTGTATCTTTATCTTCTGAATTACAGATCTTTAGCAACATTTTTGTAATGTTGACTTGGTGCTCATTGGTTGCTTTTGCTTCCTGAAATCTATGACATGCATGGTTTTCTTGTGTATTTCATTAAAAATCTCAGAGATTTTGAAAGAAGACAGGAATGTGAGTGGATGTTAGATTCATTCTAATAGTATTTATGAAAGTCACTCTGTAGTTGCAAAAGACTTCTTCTCACAAAAAAAAAAAGTAGAAACTTTTTTCTTAATCAAAGCAATCTTTAAAAACTCTTTGTTAGCTTTAAATAATGAAAGTAGAATTTCATGGAAGAACAGAAAGCATTACAAGGATAGTTATTTCTGTACCTATTTAAAGCAAAATTAGCATTCTCTAATTTTGTATGTTTAACCTGGTATTTGCATGAAAAAACTATGTTCAAAGTAAGGATTTTCATTATGAAATAATGAAATTGTATGAAATTTCAGGGAATAAATTTCACAGTGGTAAATATATTACAAATTAATCTACAGGTTCATTTAAGTTTTAAGGGTACAATCTTTAGACATTACTTATATAATTCACACCATTTCAGCATTAGCTTGTTCTAATGTAAATTCTCTAATTAAGGGTTGTTACACTTCATTTTAATTGCCTGGGCTCAGCCAGATGAGCATTTTTGCTTACCAGTGTCACAAGGCTTTTAAGTTAGACAAAATGCCAATAAAAATGGAATTTCTGGTATAGTCTGAATATGTTTCTCTTTTCTTACAGGGACCACGTGGCCCTGATGGTTTGCCAGGTGAGAGAGGTCTCCCAGGAGAGGGCATTCAAGGCCAAAAGGTAGTTTCATGGAAATTTCTTTTTTTAACATTGTGGGTCACATTTGCAGTAGTGTCTTAAGTTACTTAAGATCATTGGTCATTCCACTGGTATAAAACAACAGCTGATGGATCTTGGTCTTCTGAATAGCTCTTTGTGTTCAGAAACTCTATCGAGATAACTACAAAAAAGTTGTACAGTCCCTCTATCAGTGGTAAATTAATGATTCTCCTATTTATGTGTTAATAAGATACCTTTTTTTGGTAGCATTAGTGAGAGAAATAATCTGAAAGACTACTTAGCTATTTGGGTTCTGTATTGAAAGAAAACATTCAGGAACTGTTTTCATTCTGCCTTGCCATTTTGGGAAACTGAAACATGGGTTGTATGAGTTTCTATGGACAGTTATCTCATTAACGGCACTTGCTAGCTTACTACATGTGAACATTCCCTTTTTTAAACATAAGTACAAACAAGGAAAGATTTATGATTCAGTCATAACTGGGCTTCCCTTCAAAATGTATCCCTCTTTTTTAGTGGCTTCAAGATTCTCTAGAGCCTTGAACTACTAAGCAAAGAAGGCTTTTCTTCCTTTTATGGGAAAGATGTTAGTCATGTTCTTGCACCAGGTTCCAAACTACTCTCTCTGACTAATGAACATATCATCACATTTACAAAATGTAGCTTCCTTCTTCCTAGTATTTCATTTTCTCCTTCCGAGGTCCTGTGTTCAACAACACAGTGAACGCAGATGAAGCATTTAACGAATTGTAACTGAATTGCTTTTTCTAATACTGCCAATTACATTGACCATTTTTCTTGTTTGTTTGTGAAGGAATACTTTTTTCCTCACTAACCACATTCTGATGACCAGTTTGTCTAAGATGTTCTTCATAAATTCCCAAATATAGTTACAAAACTGTCACATATTTCTAGGGTGAAAAGGGCTCTGAAGGTGTAGCTGGTCCTCCTGGACCACCAGGTCAACAAATCAAAGGAGACAAGGTGAGGCACAGAATATTTTTCTAATCATATCCATAGTTAACTATATTTATAGTTAAATTAATGATGAATTGTTCACACATCATGACAATACAAAGGTATGTTTTACCTGGAATCTAAGAAACAGTGACTCTGTTCCGTGCAGCTCCACAGGCTGTATCTACCTATCAAGGAGCTGAGCCTCTCAATGTTAAATGGCGGGGGGATGGACTAAGGAGTGTATTCTATGCAGCTGGAAGTATGAGGGAAGGAATTGACTTTTTCCTCCTAAATTTATTTCAGAAATACTGTAGTTAAAATATTTTAAATTTTAGTTAAATATTTGTAAAGTGTAAAAAACCCTTTTGAGTCACCTAATCCAATGGACATGGAATAGGCAAAGGAACACTCTGGCTTTTAAAATTTGTTAGCTTTTTGGTGCCCAGTCCCTCAAAGAGGGATCCAGAACAATTTTAATTCCCTTGGCTTGATGAAATTCTTTTTATAGAGTGAACAAAGCTAAGCAGGACCACAGGGCCCAACAGGACCACCAGGAATAGGCAATCCTGCAAGCCAGGTAAGTCTACATTTTGGACGTGTAATGAGCATTTGCATGTAGTTTATGTTTTATGCTTTATCAGAGCTCTGATTTTGATGTGAAGACATTAAAAATCTCATAGTGATTTTTAATGTTAAAAAGTATCAAACCAGTCTTTAGGCAAAGCTTGTAAATGCAGGTGATTCCAAGTGATCTGAATGGTCTTAGAATCAAGCAAACAGAAATTTGATCTAATCTGCATAATAATTTGCATGGGAGATAAATCAGACGGGTTGCTTGGATGATGACATATTATAGATAACAGTTCCACAAGGTAAGAATCAATCACTTCTGAATTCCAAGCCCTTTGAATCTTGAACACAGCCTTTAATAGTTGGATAGAGAAAATTGAAACATCCCAAAAGATTTTTTGGGTTTTTATTTTTTGGAAAGAAGTGTTCATGCTTCCACCATGCTATGCATCAGGGCTTAAATGCAGATACTGAGGCACTTTCCTAAGCAGTAATTCTCATTACACTTGGATGCATCAGTGAAATCCAGAGGATAGTGACAAAAGACAAATAAACCCATGATCTCTGAACTAAGCCTGAGCACAGGCATAGAAATGGTTTTCTTTTGAAGATAAGATAAAATCATAATTAACTGAAAGATGGAAATGTGATGAATTTCAGATGTGGAAGAGTGTAATGCACTAACTCATTTATTTTACCTTATAGGGTATACAGGGTCCACAAGGAAACCCTGGGGCAAAAGGATCTAAAGGTTTTGGTCTGCCAGGTCCAAAGGTAATGATTCACATACTATTTTTTAAAAATAGCACCAACAAGAAACAGCAAGCAACATATCTTTGCCAGGCTTTTCAAGAGTCTGTTTGATGAGATGAAAATGTAATTCTTTGTTGGAGATAACAGTCCACTTTGGAATCTTTGAGGGGAAACTACCCATGTTATCAAGGTGTTCCCCAGGTGGAGCCTATGGCTTCTGCTTAACGTCAGCCCTTAACCTTTGTGAATGGGGATTTTAGGTTCTAAATGAAGGCAAATTCATAAATTAAGCATCTTTCAGAGATGTTTATATCAGCTTAATTTGGTGCCATATACACATTGTGTTCAAGTAAAGCATTTTACCAAACAACTTAGCTGTAAAACAGTGATGGTTTTCAGACTTAAGGCTAGTTCCACCGTGCCTTCAGCCTGTCCTTCAGCCTTCTATGGTCGTCATAAGAACCAAAACCAAAGATAGAAACACTAGAACAGAAAAAGGATCTTAAATGCACTTAGTAGCTGATACTGCACCACAGGAGGGAGAGTAGGAAGAGATCAGGAAAGTGGGGTAAACGATTACAGCTGTCCAAGCCCAGACCTAAGCCCAGACCTCTAGCAATACAGTGTCTGGTGAACACTGTCAGAAGAGAAAAGGGGAACTGCTAAAATACTGAGGAAAGAAAGCAGAATAAACTGATGAACTGTAAAGCAGAATTGTGCTTTGTAATCACCTTGATGTACAAAAGGAAGACATTAGTCACTGTAGCAAAAGCAGGGAGAAATACAATAATTTTCTTTGGCATGTAAGTAGCAGTTACAGCAGCAATGTTTAATATTAATTTTTTTTTGGAAAAATAGGTAGCTACATGTTATGTATGAGGACAATTTTCCTATTGTGAAAAGTATTTTTAAAATCAAAATTGGAAAATGGAATTCCTATTTCTTTAACTGTTTCAGAACAACTGGAAGGAAGAATCATGAGGGTAAAACTTTCTCCTAAGCAGAAGTGCTGATATTTATTTGGGCTCACTTTTTTTATTCAGTGACCAAAGAAATTTTGATTTAATGTTATAAAGTCTAAAAAGAAAATGTTTTAAAAGGAAAAGGAGAAAGTCGGAATGATTCACTTAGACTTTCTGCCCACTGCAAGGTTAAGTAAAATAGATGCAATCTCACAAGTGACTGGGTTTTTTAAAGAACAGAATTTTCCAGTTAAAACTGCTTGGTTGAAAACTTGACCACTTAGAACTATGGAATCACAGAATCATAGAGTATCTCAAGTTGGAAGGGACCCCTGAGGATCATCAAGTCCAATTCTGTGTGTAAACCAGTTAGTGAAATAGTGCTAATATAGAAATTACTGAAGCTAAATTGTGTCTCTTTGTTAAACAAAAGACTTTTTCTCACTAGGGTCAACCAGGTGAACCTGGACAAGAAGGAGAACCAGGACATCCAGGAACTGGTGTACGAGGACTGAAAGTGAGCCTATTTGTATTTGTAACTGCTCCTTACAGGGTCTTCTAATTCTTTCACTAGTTGCTGATAAGCTAAGTAGAAGATTTTTGGTATAAATTGACTATGAGCAAAATAAGAAGGAATTCCAGTGATAGATATTCACTTAACTTCACAGTTTTAGCTTTTAAATGCAAACTGCTATGCTAAAGCTCCCATCCTGTCTCCTAAAATCATCACTGCAGCCATAACTGGAATGGAGCTTTCTAAGCTTGTGAGGTATTTCTAAAGCCTGTTAGAAACGTTACTACCTCTGTTCCCCTGCAGTGATTTGATAAAGAAAAAAAGCCCAGTCTGTGTGACAGTGGTGATCATACTGCCTACATGTTAGAAGAGCCACTAAACACTTGCAGCTTAGACTTCAGCTGCCATTTTGAAGTCTGAATACCATGTCCTTAATGATTTAAGTAGGGCTTCGAAAATCTTAGGTAAGATGACACAGGCATCTTGTTGTGGGTGATTTTTCCCAGGATAGTTGAAGAAGTACGTGGCAGGACTAGTTCCTATGGATAGTTTCAACGCTTTGTGGCAAGTCTTAGGAGTAATGCCTACACCCATTTGTACAGCCAGCGAAGTGTTAAGTCTCTAACAATTCTATTCAGGCATTTTTGGCTGACCATTCCTTAAGTCCCAGATGTTTGAATTTGCAAGTAAATCACATTTGTATCATATTGTTCGTGTGCACAGAATAAGAAACAGCATTCAATCATCTTTCAGAATAACAAACAGCATTCAATCTTGTTTTTCCTCACTGAATGAATGTAAATCTATTTAATACAAACCCAAGATTTAAGAAGTAGGTGAGGAGCTTGGAAAGAAATTTAAAATACTTATTTTAGGTTGTATGAATAGAAAAATTACTGGCTCTATAGAGTATTTAACTTACTGGGAATAACAACCTCTATTTGAGCAAATATATTGTATATAACTAATTATCTTTTTTAACACACTGTTAGGTATATTTTACAGAACAAAGACAAAGAACAAAGACTTGAATTATGCAGATATAATTATTTATTCTTCTTTAAGGGAGATACAGGTCTAACAGGACTCCCAGGAGAGAGAGGAGTGCAGGGAGATCCTGGAAAATCAGGAAAAAAAGAAAGGAAATATATTTTACCACATGTAAAAGGTGTAGACAAAAGAAGAACAAACTATTATTTGCAGGTATGCAATGTCAAGGAGTTCATCATGTAGGAGGGTATGTGCCAATACTTCTGTTAGGGAAAAGGGACTGGACTAGTTGAGATGTTTCATCTGAATCTTCAACCGATTTAGCTGCCCTGCATTTTGTGGGCTGTTGACTACTGTTAAACTTCACAACCTTCTTGGAGAACAGATAGGTTGTACCTTTAGCCTGTTCCTCACAGCCTATTCAGATATTTCCTGACACCAAGAAGTCATGCTCACATTGATGTGACTTAGGGCGTCTGGCAGGGTGGTGAACTCTGACTGAAACCTGTCAGCCTGGTACAGACACCATCACAAACAGCTGAAACCAGGGCTGCTTGTTTCCAAGGGAAATTCTGAGATTTTAAGAGATGCTCTGCCACATTGGGAAAAAGAAGCATAAATTCAAAATGGAGGAAAGGAATTTAGAGGAGTGCAAAACTGAGTGCCCAAAATAGTCAATTTAGAGTAAGTTAAATAGAGGGTTTTAATTTTACTCTTTCCAAATAGAATGAGCTGCTGAGCGAGCAAATTCTCAATTCTTTGGCTGATTCTTTAATTGCTGCTGAGAATCCAGGTCCCTCCATGCTCTGCTACTGTGCAGCTCTTAAATGAGGGTAGCAGCTGGCCAATGTGTAGAACTGATGAACTGAACATGATTCAGAGTAAGCAAATCAGCACTTTTTGACTGCAAGTCTTTAATCAGAAGATATCTGAATAGCTGTAATAAACATCTATTAAGAATGCAACTTTGCATTTTTTTCACCTACAAGGGCAGTGCAAATACCAGTTTGACAAGCTACACCTGAGTCAGTAAGTCTTCTGCTGTGGAAAAATATGTAGCGTTTCTATTGCTGCTTAATTATTTTTATAATATTTGAAATCGCCCACGGTGTAAATGCTCAAGAAGACCCCAGTGTATCAGAAGTCAAACATCAGTTACAATAAATATAGGGTTAAAGTTACAGATGACTTTTGTATTTGGTAATGCTGCGGTATTTTTCACTTGCATATTCCCTTTATTCTGATGATCGACTTAGTGCTGTCACCTTCACTGTTGTAATTCATTATACGTGAAAATATTAGTACTGAGCAGCTACATTGGGTATTTGGGACAGTGCAGAGAACAGCTTGATGCTTGCAGTGGGTAGCATGGTGATGTTACAGCAGTTATTTGCACATGTGAAGCTGTCTCACAATAGTGGGGTATGCCTATCAACAGCAGGCTCTGTAATGCCACGACCATCAACAGCTCCAATCAGAAATTTTTAAACTTCATTTTGATCTCCTTTTCACTTTCTGAATTACCTACAGGCATTCTGATATACTAATCTGATTTATATTATGCATAAATAATAATTTTCCTTAGTAGAAAATAATATGTGGATTATTTGCTGATTATTTGGAGCGATGTTTCTGGCTAATGTTTGCTGCCTGGATTGGTCTTTGGCTACAAAGTTGCTTAAAATTATTGCTTCTTAAAAGTTGTTTTTCTTAAAATCGGTTAACCAAGACCTTTTCTGATAACTGTAAGCATTTCTCTTCTTTATATGAGTATATGCACACAATTCCTCCCACAAAATATTGATGCAATTGCAAATGGCACTATTACAGTTGAGTAATGAATTGTAATGAGTTGTGAAAATGAGGAATATATATGCAGGAGGGTGGAAGGGGTTTAAGAAGACAGAATACACCATTTTTTGTAGGAAGAAATTTAACCAGATATTTACTGACATTTCTGGGTAAAGTGTTTATGCAAGCATTGTTTCTCGTAAGTCTGTTGATTCAATAAAATTAGCTACATGAGAATTGATTAACCATCTAATCTCTGTTAGGGGGAGAAGGGAGATCAAGGTCCAAGAGGCTCAGAAGGACCCCCCAGCAAAGGAGATGTAGGCCAAAAGGTATGGCTTGACATGCACACAGGAGAAATGCTACAACTTTAGAAGGACTTATTTTATAAGAGTTCAGATTCTGGCCTATTTTTTCATTCATTATGTCTTAAAGTAGCAACTATAGTTTAACTGATGATGTAAAAGGTTTTGAGAGCGATGTGTTCTTTAGCATGATCAAGTGCAGCAAAATCAGACTATAAACATAGACCCTAAATTAACTGAGCTGTAGAGATTTCCTAAAATTTTAATATAGAGGTTGCATTAAAGTTAGAGAAGGCAAATTATCTCAGAATGCTGATAGGAGAGAGAGGAGCTAAGAGAAATTATGTGACTAGTTAAATATCTAAATATGAAATTAAATCCTGGAAAGATGTACTTACTAGTAAACAGACAGCTTTTATCTCCCACCTAGTTAAGTTTAGGACATTTGGAGCAGATTCTAAAACTGAGTGGGATTTCAGTTTGAGTTTAGCATATAAATATCTATTTAGTCATGGGCATCATTATGGTGTATATATATATATATATAAATGTAATTATGGGTTTTTATGTATCTCCTAGTTAGGAATGAATCTTGTCTGTGATTGATAAAGAGGTTTGTTTTTCCTCAGGGTGACCCTGGAGAGAAAGGATCCCAAGGACTGATTGGTTCTAAAGGAGTACAAGGCCCAGCTGGACCAAAAGTAAGCTTGTTCCTCCACTTTGTATTTTGTAAAAGAATATATGGGGTTTTTGTAATGTACAGATTTCTTAAGCATGTTATGCTTGGAGGCTTAACAGAAAAAAAGAAAAGCAGAAATATTCTCATCCCCTGTCCTGAATGACACAAAAGTTCCAGGGAGAAAAAGAATAGGTAAACATAGAATCACAGACCTTGTAGTTATGCATGAGGACTGAGAAGCTAAATTAAAGTTGTCCGAATGATCCTAGCTATGAGTATTTTGCAAATTTTTACTTTGAAACAATAATTTGTTATTATAATATTTTGTGAATAAGTGGTGCTCTGAATGATAAGGAAATCAAAATAATGCAACCATTCTGGATATTGTATTGGCTTTGTAAGCCAGGCACAAAACATTAATTAAAGTTAAAAAATCAAATACACAGTTCAACCAATAGTTACTTAAAACATGAAGCGTGGACAGGCTTTCACAAGAACAGTAACTTGATTTATGTTTTTTTCCAAATATTGGCTATATTGTAGATAGATCTATATTGTAGATACTTTTATAATATGAAGTGTTAAAAAATCTTTTTGTTACTTGTGCAGAAAATGAAATTGTTTAAATCTAGGTCATGCAATTTTGTAACAGGGTGAACTGGGAGAGAATGGACCAGCTGGTGTCCCTGGATCATCTATTCGGGGACCTCCTGGACCAAAGGTGATTGATTACCTGATTGTTTGCTGGAGACCAGAGACCGGAAGATTACTGGTGCACATTACTGTCAAAAGAATATGTTAAAGATGTTAAAATTCCTTGTTATAGTAACAAAGGTGACTGAACTTTAGAAATAAGGACTGAAAGGTACTAAAAATTAACAAAGTGTGTTTGTGAGCCCTTCAACAGGATGCTGAACTTAGGACGTGCTGTTGCCTCCTGAATTCATTTGTTAAAAAAAAAAAAACCCTTATAACATTTCTGTTGTGTCTTTGAAGTTTTTTTTCTGTTTTTGTTTTGTTTTGAATTTACTATGTATTTTGTTTCTTAGACCAAAGATTTCCTGAATGTGGCAGTAAATCCCTACAAGAATGTGTCTGTGTATAGTTCTAGATATGCTGAACTAGATGATTTTTTGGAGATGAATGTTTGTATGTCACTTCCAAGTGAACAGTTGGCCTGTAGATACTAGTTTAAATGAAATGTCATATATAAGGTAGCTAGAGCTGCATCCATCTCATTTTTTCTATGGGGAAAATGTACTTGAAATGAGTGAGAATTGTCCTGCTAAGTAAAATATGCAGATTCAGCAACAGTAAATATAACTCTGAAGATTTTAAAAATACTTGAAAATTCACTACCACCACATTTTTATTTTAAGAATAAAATAGTTGCAGTTTGTATAAATGTATCAGTTTACTTCAACTTTAATTGATGCTTTTCAGCTTTGGTGATAGATAGTTTTTAGGATAGAGAAATCACTAATGTGCATCCTATCACTCTGAAGACATTTCATCTCCGTTTTTCTTCTTCCTTAAAAATATATATCCCTCCCCTCCCCCAAGCACATATAGGTATTGTTCATACAATGTACTCATGAGCCCGGCAACAAGGCATCACAGAGGAATGGGATGTGGTTTGGACTTGCTTGTGCATGGAGGAAGGAGAAAGAAGGGAATGCAAGAAGCTCAGGGTACACCTGGAGTAAAAATGCATCCAAACTTTATCTCAGGAAAATATAAGTGGCACAACTTGTATGAAGACAGGTGTCACTACACTGGTCTGCTGTCTTCACATTTTTGTGGTTGGTGTGGCATTTTTTGAATAGACCATTAAGGGAGTCAAGATTGTTTATTGATAAAACTCATGCTGAAAAAAAGAACTTTGTTGACTTTATTACCTTTTTCATTCTGATTTTATTCGGTTCAATATACTTCATATCATTTTCATAGCAGACTGGCCAGGATCCAGAGTTAACTGGGGTCTGCAGGAGTTTTTCCACACTCTACTAAGATGAGGGGTTTTATGTGCAGTGGCTGATGCAAGAAAGCAAGTATTTTGGATAATTACAAAATGCAAGTTGATTTTTAGAAAATACCCAAAACTTTGTCTCTTTAGCTCCACAGTAATTTCTTTGTTTAAAGACGTATCTACTATGTTTCTGACAATTGCTCAATAATGTAACAGGGTACAGAGGTCTGTTTTCTCTCTCCACTGTGGAAAATAAAACGATTACTAGTAATTGTGTTCTTGGAAAATCCTGGTATCTGCAATAGTGAAGCCAGACATTACAAATTTCTAATGCAGGGAATCCATGTGCTTTTCAAAGCTGGGAGTTATCATGGTCTGAGGTCTTTTTATTACATCTCTTAAGTATTTGATGTAGCAGTGGAGGGTTGCTAGACAACTACTGAACAGCCATGGTTGTGTTCACTGGAAATTTATTTATTTTAAGCAACACCCATGTTTGGGGACTAGAGTTTTATTTCCCTTGACAACCATTATTACTAATGTGGAGACAGTAACATTTGACAGCTGTTTTTTTCTCATATTCCTTTCTCATGGTTACAGCTGCTTGGTGGTTTTGATAGAACATTTTATCTGCCTGTCCCTCTCACTACTGTTAAAAATTGCAAGCTTCACTGAAAATCAAAATTTTCTATTTAAGACCCTTAATATAAAGTGAGACATTTATGGCCTGTAAATCAAACAGTAAGAAGGAGACAGATTTTTCTCTGTGTGGGGATAACATGAGGAACTTTAATTTGAAGCCTGATTGCTTTCCAGAAAAGCCACTGATAGAGCTAAGATTACCAAACAGTTGTACTAGGCAGTATTTGAGGGAAAAAAGAAGTTTCTTCCTGAGTCTTCAGCCTGTGGAGCTCACAATTTTGAAGTGCTGCACACTTGCATGTTTCTAAACATACTCTGTGTCTGCACTTGTCTTTAAATTTCTTTGCTGTTCTCTTTGTGCTCTGACAGAAACAAGGTTATACAGCCTTGCTTGTGTGGGCAAAAGCAGGCAGAAAGCACATGTGTGTCTGGCCATGCAGACTGAATTATGCTACTCAACCTTCAGTTGAAAACTGAAGCTGTGAAGTTATTCATCAAAAGAGAACATGTTCTTTGACACAGTTGCAGAGAAGCAAAAGTATAAGTGAGGTCAGAATCAAGGTAGTAAAAGCTTCCTCTAGAAAAACTGATTTCATATTACCTACCTCAGTAATTGTCACTGTCACAAAGCGTTGAATACTTGTTCTTTTCTGTAAAACTTAGTAAAGTAAAACTGAAAATAATGAATATGGGTTTGCTTTTGTTTCTTTTTTGATAGGGGGATCCAGGTCCCAAGGGGCCACCTGGAGATGATGGACTTCCTGGAAATTCAATAATGGGACCAACGGTAGGAGTTCTAGACAAAATACAAAAAATAAACATGAGATATGAAAAACTCTTGTGAATATGCAGAAACCATTTAAGCAACATTTCTGGGAAAATAACTGACCAGTTCTTCAACTTTTACATCATTCCGGTGTAAGTCTATTTTTAAATATAAACTTGCTATCTTTTTGAAGAAGAAACACAAAAAAGATTAAATATCTAGTCCAGTGTACGTCACCCTGCAAATTTCCCTCAGGAAATCTTCATTAGGAAGGTAACTCTTCAAATTTAGCTCCACCTTTCATTATCTCGTGTGGTGTTTTATACCTCTCTATGGGCAATATGCTCTTTAGTAAGTATAAAAAGAGAGGTATTAGTTATTTTAATAGTGGCATTTCAGTATTACCAATCTTGTACATTCAAAAACGTAAGTAAGACCCAAAATAAAGAATTTTTAAAATTTTTTTTTTTGAAGTATTTATTTGCTTATAGGTTACAGAATAGGATTTACTTGGTTATATAATTTACATTTTTAAGTTCAACACCAAGAATGGAGTACAGTAGTCTGTGGCAAGATTGCTGTGCTCACTGTTTTTGAGCCTTTAGTGATTAACTAAAGTGAAAGACGAGATAAAACTGAGTGGTACATAGAGATTGCAGTCTTTTCAGAAGAGAGAGACTTAAAAATTCTCCTCTGTAGTACATATGAGTTGACATAAGGCTTCTCGAAGAATAAGGTGAAACCAAGGACCATCCTCTTGCCAGTGGGAAATAAATTAGAGGAAAAGGATATAGATTAATTTGCAAAGGATGAAATTTATGGGGTTTTATCATTGTTGAACAGTGAAGCGACCTTTTCAATGAATGGTTCTCTCTCTTCTGTTTCTTAAGTGGTAATACTAGTTCAGGATGACTGCTAGGTACATAGAGTTATGACTGTAATTCTCCTTGCATAATGCATTACAGTTATCAGTGTGGAATTTTGTCTGATATTTTGTCACCAAATTACTCAAAACCTTAAGCAGGGTCTTCCCCCAAGTCCTTGAAACTAATCAGAATAATATGGTGTCATTAGAAAACAGTGCTACACATCTTTCTACACTATTTAAGAACTGAAAATACAGTCCCTAGAATAGATCCCATGTTATCTACAGCAAAAACTGGGTATATTTCCTTTTACTTTGCAGCTTTCTCTGCTTCACCTTCAATATATTTTATGATATCATATTGTACTTCTATCAGTCATAGTCTGGGATGAAACTTTCTATAAGCCTTCTGCCACTTGTGAGAAGTGAGTAATTCAGGAAGACTTCCTTCAGTGTTTGGGAAAGGTGCCATTCTGCTATTCTTGTGATCTTCTTTCCAGACTGAAATCAGGAAACTTCTTAGTAAAACTTTTTCTTTTCTTTTTTTTTTTTTTTTTTTTTTAACGTTTACCATGTCTGCACATAAAATGTTCTGCTAAATTCCACTGTTTCACTTTTTGGGAATATAGTTGATAGACCCAAATTCAGAGACCAATTAGTTTATGTGTGCCTAACACAATGTAGTTCAAAGTAAAACAACTTAGTGCAATAACTTCTATGTGATAACATCTTAGCAATACCAATAATGCTTTACTCCTGGCTTGACAGACTTCTAACATTACAGCTACCAGAGGATGCTGGATAGCACATTGATCCATGTGCATTCAGTAGCTTGTCTTTTTGAATTTTCAGAAACTCTAAATTAATTTACTTTGTCTATAATCTAGAATGCTACTTCACCCTTTTTTCTTATAAAAAGAAGCAATGAACATGACTTATTTGTTCAGTCATACCTAATCATTTAGGTTTTGATTATGTCAGTTGTTACTTTTTCATAACAATGACCATGGAGAGATTTATGTTTAGATTCTGTTTATCTTTTTTCTTTCTTCTTTGAAAGAGTGTAGAAGCAACTATCTCTATATTATTGTTTTCCAAAAATTACTTTAAAAGGAAAGGCTGCCCTGGAAAAGCTGCCCAAGTAGATTGATTAATTCAGCATGCCATCTGTGACATTAATGGCAGTTGCCCTGTTGCCAGCAAACTGCATTGGAGTGAGTCACAGTGACTGCCTTTTCCAGACCCCACAAAACTCTGGAAACAGCAGTCACAGAACTGCCCCTGGGACATACATTGTGTATTTTTCATGCAGCTATTAAAAAATTAAATCTAAATAACCTGGACTAAAACTAAACAGTTAGTCCAGGTTGGATGAGGCTTTGAGAAACCTGGTCTGGTGTGAGGTATCCCTGCCCATGGCAGGGGGGTTGGAACTAGATGAGCTTTAAAGTCCCTTCCAACCCAAACCATTCTATGATTCTATGACTTAGAGAACCGTTTGTTACAGTAGATTTTGCTTTAGATTTGACTTAAGTAGATTTATAGATGCGTTACTAATGGCAAAACCAGCCTCTTAAAAAAATCCCAATTCTTACAGAAGAGAATGTGTTAACATGTATTGGGTATTTACGACGGTCTGCTAGGATTAAATTAAAACATCTGTTTGGCTGTTTTCTACTGCAGTGGAATTAGAAGTAAAAATAGAGATGAACTCATGAGCTCTGGTTTCCTTTCTTGTTTACAAAAACAATGTTATTAAACATTTGTAAAATCTTTGTTATTTTATCCACAGTTTAAGAACTATGGATATTAAGGATGAGGAAGAGGTAAAAATGACTTTCTGTTATAAAGCTATTTATGAACTAGAAGCATACTCAATGGTTATATTTTCACAAACCTGGATCAGAATTGCATCATTTGAAAATTAGGGAACATGAAGAAACATATTTCTCAGCTAATACAGTTTGAATCTGATAGTCAGGTTGTGTTTAAAGTCTTCCAGAGAAACTATCCCTTTGGACAGGAGGAGAAATTCATACAGGAGTGACCTATCACGTACAATTTTCCTTAAGCATAAGGCATTCTTGTATCCCTATCCCAGACTGCATCATAAAGTGGTTTCAGGGTTTCATCTCTGACCAGAACATTGAGTCTACCTTGTCTTTCTTCATTCACATACCTCCTAACCTAAACCTGTGATGGGTATCTTTAGGAGAGCCAAAGCAGCTCTTTCATTTTAACTTGGCAGGGCTAAATTGTTTAAGAAGATCTGATTACTTGTGTCTATGGTGGAGATGTTCATGGGACAGCAAATTCGAACCCAACCTCTGATTTTGTTGAATAACTAGAATATGAGTCAGCTTGTTCTCTGGTCATGGACACTGTATTCAGACAGACCACTCACTGAGATTTGAGCTGCTAGCAGGACTCCATCCATGGTTTCTTGAAGCATTATGTTATTGCAGAAATGTTCAGGCACAATGCACAGATAAAACAGCAGATTCCTGTCATTTGTAGTTTCTTTTTTCTAGCTATTTATTTTTACTGGAGTAGTCAGGGAAATATTCACTATTTGTATGTAATTATTCTTCAGAATATGTTAACTGTATGTATATTAACAACTGACCCTCCAACACTCTACTGGAGAGTCCATTTACATTTCTTGGTTCTGTGGGACCGAGGGAATGGTGTACACTTCTTTTATGGCCATACACGTACCATGCTTAGGAGTGAGGCGGATGTGTGACCTACAAGTATCAATAAGGATTTCTGGTGCTGTCATGTGAACATCTACAGTACAGACTGCCAGCATATCTTGAGGCATACCTCAAAGTAGTATGTTTTCTGTCTTGCTTCTGTGAAGAACAGTCTATTGCTGGCTCAGTTAATTTTCCTATTAAATGTCAGGAAAATGATCACTGGAATGAGGGAAGAGGAAAAGATTGCTATTTGCTTCTCTGCTGGTTGTGAAAGGAAGCATTGAAGTTTGAAAATGCACAAGTCTTTAGTGGGAGTCAGTGGAAGAGTCACAGAAGGAATGATTGTGTCCTGATACAGATCATTTTAGGTTAAATTAAGAAATTATATCTTTCTTATAACCAGTTGTTCTTCTTTCTTTTACTTCTTTCCCTTGTAGAATGCAGTTTTGCTTTACTGTGTGAAAGAATCAATGTGATTACCTGGAAGTGCAAAAATGTGCAGCATATGATAACTTAAGGCTGGCATATTATGTTACAGTATTGTTAAATGCATTGTTCAAATGCAGGACTTAGCCCCGAAGTCATAAAAGTTTAACTTTCTAAATTTATCTTTGTATTGGCTAAAGATAAAGTCAATGCTCTGAAGATTTCTCTCTGCAACTACAAATCTAACAATTAACAATTTCCTAATGAGAACCCCTATTCTTCTGAAATTTTAATTTGATCACCTGAAGTAACAATAAAATTTCTGAACTTTATAAACAAATTGAAAGAACTGATAACTGCTATTCTGTATTTACAAAAGAATATGAAATATTTTCCTTGAATGTTTGTTAATACTTGTTACATCATGATGGTCCAGTTACTGGCATGGTGCCTGACTTACTGTTCTGTATTTAGGGTAACCAGGGACTACCTGGATTACCTGTACCCCGTGGAGCAAAAGGTGATGGCCACAAAGGTGAAGCTGCAAGTATGATTTTAATTCTGTACTTTGTGTTCTGTGAAAAAAAAAAAAAATTAAAAGAATTATTGGGTCATAACTCAATATTTAGTTACTTAAGTAAGTGCAACTAATCTCTTTCATCCTTTAGCTGATTTAAATATTTTATATATATTTTGAAGTCCTTTCCTGTCCTAGATACAGTGCCAGTTCTACAGGCAGTTGGAACCGGATATAAACTTCTCATTTCAGCATCCTGAAAGGGATACCATGTAATTCCATAAAGATCATCATGGCTGCTCGTACATGTTTAATATAATCACTGCTTTGAATAATTTTCCTTCCCTGCTTCCCTCCCTCCCATTTCTTTAGTGTTCTTTGTTCAAGATCTCTAATAACATCTGCCTTGCCAAATCTTACATCCTTCCATTCCTTGGGGTTTCATCTGCTTTTCATGCTGGGGGGTTAAATCCTCTTTGTTGAAGATTTGCCGCCTGCCACCGCCTGGCTTTTCTGATAGTGAGCTCCAGAGGATGTTAATGCCTGCATATTCCATCTGACACATTCCATTACAAGGGCATATCACCCTAAATTTTAGTCATCCAAAGACACACAGACATTTTTCACCAACCTTTAACTAGGAAGTGAAAATACTGTTGCCATCCTTCAACCTCTACATGTCAAACTTCCATTAGCACTATAATCTTTATGCCTATAATCCAGCTTTATTTCAAACTACAACCACAAAGGCATTCACGAATACACTGAGGTGGGACCTGAGTGCTTCCAAATAAGTCACATCTCAGCTCCAATTTCCTATCGTTCAAACTGATCCTGGGAAGAGCCATAAGGATCAGAATTAGTTCGAGGGCATTCACTCAGAATTCCTGATGTAGTGCTATGTACCTGACATATTTCACAGCACACAGGAACACTAGACCAGCTCAAGACTCCCTGGAGGGTCAAGGAGTGCCAATAACCCACACCCATTGAAGAGAGCACATAAAAGCATGCCATCCCAAATGGAAATAAAAAGCAAATGCAAAGGCAATCATGAAGAAGACATTGATGCAACTAGATGACTGACAAACTTTTAGTAGTCCTTAAAATGCCTCATAGGAAGTAAAGTTTTAATCTTTACAAGATATCTGTTTAAACTGTATGAAAAAAAAAGTATTGGTACATACCGAATCAGAGGTCAGTGAGAAGCTGAAAGGTCAGTGAGAGGCTGAAAACTTTTCATTTCTGATTAATCAAAGAACTGAAGGGAAGCCTGGTTTGGTAACCATTGATTAAACTGATTAATAAAACAAAAGCTAGTTGTAGTCTTCCCAGTCACAGGATGACAAACTTATACATGTTTGCGCTTCCTGCGTTTCTGTTAGTGCCTAGGCAATTGAAAAAGAAAATAAAAAGAGCTTTGCTCTGCAATAGTATTCCTGAAATCATATCTATTCAAGGAATCCCATCTGCAACTGCTGCAAGAATCACGCTTCTCTGCAACTCAGTCTCAGGCTTCAGCAAAAGTTGGTTGTGTTTCTCCCTGCCACATCAGTACTCATCCTTGAAATGTGTGAAGGTTCTGTTGTGCTGTAGCATGCATCTTTTCCCCTTCTCTGCTTCCTTTCCGTGCCACATGATCTATAAAGGCCGACTTTGTAGACCACTGGCAGACATAGACAAGATTTATGTAGCTAAGTCTCTGTAGCATGATGGGGAAATGACATCTGCCCTATGAATGATGAAAGAAAAGCTGAGGATGCCTGCAGCAGTATGAAAGGCAGATGTTATGAGCTGTGACGGATTGACTGGGGAGTTCAGGAGAACACGCTATCAAACAGAAATACACCAAAGTATGTTAGGGTTACCCAACTCCCAAATTTAGATGGCTTAGCTCTGGTATTCCAGATGTGTAATGTCTGCAGTGTATGAATCATGGAGCAGTGTCTGCTTTCTCACTGGTACCTTTGAGCTGAGAACAGCTCCAATGTTCTTAAGTCAAGAGCTGGACTTTTTTTCCACTACTCTGGTAGTCTTTTCAGGTTTCCACCTGGGACTGAGGATAGCTGTTGCTCAGTGCACATTGTAAATGTGAAGAATTTGACAAAATACAGAAAAAACAAAGAGATAGTAACTATAGCTGAAATTCTCTTTGTTGAAGAACACAAGTACTCTTCCTTTAGGACAACTATTGACATGTTTCATTCCTCTGCTCTACCAGGGACCTCCAGGACCACCAGGCCCCCCAGGACCAGCTGGCCCAAAAGGTGTGGGAGAAGCTGGACCAAAGGTACGTGTGCAATGGTGGTAGATGCATCTGAGTAGTAGACAAGGTAGACAAGCATCTTTCAAAAAATGCATTAGATTAGAATGGTGTATTTATGATAAAATGCTGACATCTCATCTCCCACTTTCTGTTTCAGTTAGAAGAAAAGTTTGTGATAGTCCTTTTTGCCATAATAGAAAGAAATCAGTTCTTGCTTTATCTCCAGATTTGATGCAAATCTGCAGGTTTGCCATAAATCCAAAGACACAGAATGTTTCAAAATGCTGGAGTTTTCATGTGGAAGTCAGAATCCAACACAGACAGAGTATTGCCTTATAATTATGCACTTTCTATCTCCTGCAGACTCCAAGGTACTCAAGGAAAATGTTGGTTACATGGAATTAGCGAGTGATTTTTAAAGTTCTTAGAAATGGACCTAAGAGAAGACTATAAATCTTTATCTAAAATTAGTATTAGTTTAGAGGAAAAACTCAGCAGAAAAACAAAACAAAACTGATAAAAAGATTAGAAATACAACACTGAAACACAAGTTTTTTCATAAAACCCAGAATAGCTGAAGTGTTATAAGCTTCTAAGCATTATGTAGGTCACCTAAAAAACCATGTTGTAACTGCTATATTATAAGAAGATGGAGAAAAGACACTTAAGACTAAAATGATAAAAGATATTGCTTTAAAATATCCCACAAAGTGGTTTTATTAATGATTCCCTTGTTACATATGTGAAATAGTAAATAAACAGCCTGTGGCAGGAAAAAGCAAAATAAATACTGCCCAAACACGTTTTTTCTCAAACAAAAGGAACTTTCAACTTCAGTTCTCAGAACACGAGAATTCCCATTTAAAATAAACAACAGTGATAACCTCTCTAAAAATGTATCCACAATAAAGGAGAAACTGGAGGGCGTTCATTCTTAGAATGACCTGACCTTGGAAGTACCATACAATGGCCTGGCAATGGGATCTGGGAAACCTGGCTTTGTGCTCCTATTATGAATTACTGCTTATCAAGACATTTCACCTAATGTAATGCAAGGTCTGACCCATGACACAAACTACTAAGGGACTAAAAATAATTTCAGTCATGTTATTTGATATAGACTTACAGAAAATACATACAGCTAAAATTATCAGATCTTCTTTTATATGAGATTGTATCTTTTCCAAATAGAGATAACAGGCTTAGTATAATACAGTCTTGTAAGACATTTTTCTTGGTACTACAGAAGAACATTTCATAAAAACCCTAGAACATTTTATGTAATTATTAAGGCAGATATTGATTAAAACACAATTTATGACTACAGAATATGTAGGGGCATCATTATGTCTAGAATTCCTCCTCACTTCCCAAGTGCATAATTCTGAAAAGTAGCGTTTCCCAAAGAGAAGGAATTGGAAAGTCATGTCAGGAAATCAAGTAAGATGATCTCCTACTGTAATGCCAGCATTGAAAAATTTCAAACCTAGAAATATAAATCAGAATTTCAGTAAGAATAGAGAGCTTTAATTTAAAGAAATTTGAGTTAAATCCAAAATGGAAATAAAAGATTTTATTATTTTTTTTTAAGTGGAAGGAAACCACTAGAACAGATGCAGTGAAATTTTTCACAACTGGAATTTTTAAAATCAGCATTTGCTGTTGTGTTTCTGAAAAGTATCACAAATATACAAGGTATACAGAAATGCACTTAGGAAAACCATAGTGCCTGGCTTATATGAGACATCAAAAAGTGGGTCACAAGTACCTTTTGTTGTTATAATCATGAATTCATGTATTGCTGGGACAAGCAATACTTCAGCTGTATAATTATTAGGAAAATTCCAACTGAGATCATGAACAATGGAAGTACAATATGGTATCATAAAATGCAGGATGTAAAAGCTGTAAAGTGAAGGAAAATATATCCAGTTTTTGAAGTGGAGAACATGGAATCTAGTCTTTTTATCACAGTTATTCTTAAACCACTGTAGGTCTCATGATATAATAGTGTACTATCATTAATTATAATTAAATCATGAATTAGCCATTATAGTACTTACAGTTTTCACTTTCAGCTCTAAGTGATGTAAATCATTGCCAGTTGAAGGGAGCTGTGCTCTGAATGTACTTCTACCCCCAGTGGATGATCAGTCCAGTGGAGCAGACCAGGCAGGTCTCCTTACTTTGCATGTAATGTAAACATCAGGCTGCAAATGCATTGCTGTTGGGCCTGTAGCAGATTTGGTTTTGGACACATAGAGTTAGAAGTTGCCTATCAAGCAGAGGTTTTTACTTACAATAACCAGTTGTGGGATAGATTCAGAATGCACCATATCCATGGGTTATGGAGAAATGGCATCTTGTTACAAAGAACACTGTAGAATAGTGTAGGGTCTTTGGAAGTAACACAACACAATTAGGACAAATCATGGTCCCATCAGATCTTGTATGAAAAGTTTTGCATGGATCTGCAGGTTTGATTGTGTTTCAGTGTGCTACTACCCATCAAATCTGGCTGCTCAGAGTAGTGCTTATCTAAGAGTCTTTATCAGAAAAAAAAAAAAAAAGAGTAAAAATAATCTGATAAAAATCTGATTTGCATTTTTTACTTAAAAATGGGTAAGTTTCTTTTTTATAATGCACCCAGATTGGTGCATTAATACTATGGGGAAAAATGCATATTGCTTCTACCAATGGTGAGCAGCCGTATCTTTTGCAATGTGTGATCTCTGCACCAAAGCGTGCATTATCCAAATAGATATTCCCATCTGTGATTTAGTTCTGTTCATCCACACTTGATATGGCATAGAGAACACTGGAAAAAAAAGAAACTAAGTATATATATACCTCTTCTTCCGCCCTGATTTTTTGCTTCTGTTTCCTTATACGAAGTTTTGAATCTTTAGTCTCTACATAACTTCCTGGTAGCAAAGGTGCCACAAGGAAAAACAATTCAGTTGAATTACAACAATTCCCCTGGAATTTAGTTCATAAAATGGATAATCTTATGTTTTTTCAAATAAAATCTAAGTGCACTGGCTTCCTCTCATCCCTTCCACATAAAAGTGAATATAAGAACAACAACAATCTCTGCATATAAACCCAAACATTTATTTGATAAGAGACTCATAAAGTTACACACTAGTTAATTTGAAATTCCTTTGAGTATCATTCTATAGGAATGTTCCACTCAGCTGAATCAGAGCTCTGTTCTCCCCACTTTCTGAAATGGCTCACATATGTGCACACTGCTAGATAGGAATTTTATGTATCAGAGGTCAAATTCACATGAAAACAAAATTGGAACATGTGGGATACATTCAATCCTGGCAGCACCCTATTTTCTATAGCATTAAAACAGAAGCACATAATGTCAGAATATAACAAAAATTTGCTTTAAAGCATGATTGCCAACTGGGAGGTGGGTTACAGACATTCAAGAGCAATAGCCCAGCACTAGAAATAAAGCAAGCTTCATTCTCAGTAACTGGATAGCAGAAGGATTATTAAAACCCCAAGCGTAATCCCTAGTGCATGAACATTTGGGCTGGATCCAGCTGCAATATAAACAACTTTTTTGCAGTTTATGCCCCATCTATTTGAACTAAAATGTGGAAAGTAAAGATGCAATGTCTCTTTTTTTAATATTTTCTTCTTACAAATACCATTATATCCACTAGCTCTCACTAAAAAGAGCATTGCAGTGTTGGTTGCATGTGTCAGTATCAAATATACGTGCTTCATGGTAAATGAGGTGTGTGTATTTGGAAGCCAAGATTTTTTTTTCAGGTGACCATTGGGTCATTTAATGAACTCTGTTGAACAAATAGTAACGAATAGACATTGGAATCCCATACTTTACACTGTCTGACTCAGCTTTTTATTTCTTGTTTCAGTGGTGTTTTTCTGGTTCACCATTTTGCTGATGGTGACAAGCTTGTCTACAAGCACAATACAGGAAATAAATTAGACCTCATCAAAGAACAGTATTAATCCTTCTTGAAATGAGTTCCCTGGAGGACAGTCTAGTGTCACACCTTAGAGAAAAGAACTGCTCCACTTCACAACTCATAAAGCAAACTAAAAGTCTTTTTCTCTACGCCAAGAAATACAGAAACTTTGAGGATTACTATAAAGCTCTACAAAAGAGCTTTTCAGTGAGACATCTGGTATTAACTAAGCATGTGAGGCTAAAACTCTATCCTTCACCTGCAACAACCCCAAGTACAAATGTGTTACCCATGGGAGGAAGAGGCAGATGACTTCAAGTCACCCTTACACTCTTTTTGGTCAGGGCTGGTCTAAGAGGAGTTTGGAGCTATATTAGATACTGGACCATAAGGAATCATTTAGTTGTTTGGTAACCTCCCATTCAGCTTCCATCACAGCAACTTACAGGCTGTTTCACAGGCCACAGCATCTCAGAATTTCCTAAAAAAACCCTTATATTGCAAAGTCTTATCTGAATATCCACCTCTTAGCTCTGGCACCTCTGGCACCTCTGGCAGGTTTAGAGGGAGGCTTGGGCAGGGAAAGCTTTGACTGCTCTGTGAAACATCTGCTCATGAAGAGTTCTACAAACAGCTTAAGGTTGTGTTATGGTTTGAGGAGACATTGAAGACCAATAATTATACCTCTGATAACTGATGGTGCTAAGTAGGAAGATGACTACATTTGCCTAGACTTTTAGTATTTCTTAGTAAGGTGACAATCTCAAGGTAATTGTAAGAAAATGCATTACAGGAGGAATTGAGAAATCAGGCATGTTTTAATGAGAAGCCAGGCAAGTTTTAATGAGAAGCCAGGCAAGGATATCTACCATTCATCCTACTCCAGAGGGGCATTTTTCAACACCATGTACTAGACTTAAGTGCTACAATCTTTAAGTACTTAAGATTATGCTCTAAACACTTCAAGAGCATAATGTAGTCGGGGGGGGGGGGGGGGAGGGAAGGAAGGGAAAGGCAAAAAGTTCAAGGGCATTGCTAATATCTTGTCTCTTTGCATTAGCAGGGAAGGTCATTGGAAGAAAAAAAAAACACTATTAAAGAGAGTAGTTCTCTCTTTAATTCCATTTTCCAAACCAGACTAGATAAAAACAACGAACTCTGCTCTCTGATCAAATCTGAGGGATAAATTTCCTGGCGACTGAAAGTGGCAATCAGTTTAACCTAATTGATTTGACACACCAATTTAAAGCTAAGACCATCCATGTACTATGCCTGTGTCCTGACTCAAATTGGCCAGTCTCCTGTGCTTTGGAAGAAAGAGGAATTGAATATAAATTCAGAAGCCAAATGTTACATCAAGGAAGAAAGCATTATAAGCTCAATCTAAGCCTCAGCCTTTGGATTCAGAGTTCCCAGCTCTCCAAATCCATCAAACTTGAGCATAGTTTGGGCCATAGTATATTTATATAAATAGCAGATATGTTGGAACTTAGCATGAGAGTATCATAGCATATATAAAAAACACAAATTTGAGTGGTCTCTTGCTAGAGACTGAGCCTTGGGCATTTCAATTAAAAGCAGTCATTACAATGACTGCACACATTCTTCTTGGAAAGTAAAGGAAGTCAGTGAAAGACTCTGTACTTTGTTTCCTTCCTTTTGAATCAGTTTGATATGTAGTTTCTTTTCACCTATCACACCTCTAGTGTGTGATGTGTGTGATTCATACTTGCACCTGTCAGTTAGAATGCTTGCCTGCACAGGCATTGTTTTAGGGACACCTGATTCAGAATTTTCTGCATCTATAACTTACCCATTATAGAGTTCTTTTTTCTTTTCATACTGGCAGGAGTTTTCTAGTGATCATGTTCTGAATGTCTGCCTATTCCCTCATTTGTACAATTATGGCCTCTCATGTCCCTCTGCCTTCCCCCTACTAGGAATGTCCCCTCACCCCTATGTCCCTAGCTGGACTTATCTGCAGCATGCAGTGCTAGGCTCAGCATTACCCTCATTCCCCCTGGCTAGCCAGCTGCTGCCTTCTGTCTGCCTGCTGGTTAGGGAGTGAGTCCCCCCCGGTTTCGTTTTTCCCACTAAAAGCATCAAGTGAATCTCTCTCCTTTACCCAGCCTTCAATTATCAACAAAAATGTCAAAAATTAATATGCTCAAGGCCTCTACATTTCTGATAGATTTGGCTGAAATCAACTGATGAGTTCAAATTATGCTGGGAGGAAAAGAGGACCAACGTACACAAACAGAAACACAGTCGGAGTATCACTTAAGCTTCATTTCCTAAAGAAGTCAAGCCAAACATATATGCATTAAGGTTTTTAAGAAAAAAAAGAAAGGGTTGTTCTTTTTGTTCTATATCAATATTATTAAAATTCATTTAGTTTTCATAAACACATTAGTATGACAGTTCTGGAAATTAAATGTCTCTAGTTTTAGAACAAGCACAGTGTCAGTAAAGGACATGAATGCTGTCGCATCCCTCTAATAAGCTCCCTGTCCATCCTGGTAAGCCCCTGCAGAACGTGTTGGAAAAATGGTGTTGTTTTCAAATGAGTTTGCTTTTGTTTTTCTTCTGTAGCAGATAAGATTGCAAGTTAGTGAACTCTGTTGTGACTTTGATTACCTGGACCTTTGCTTGGGGAACAATGTTCTTCACCTAGAGCTTCAATAATGTGGGTGCCTGCATTCTGGGCTTTTTTTATATATCTACCTATAAAGCAATTGTTTGTATATAGTATTTGTTGTTTTGAACTAGTACTTTGACTGACTGCCTCATAAGTGGATGAAAGATGTAACAGATAATAGGTGATAAATCACTTGTATTTCTGTGACTGTTTTCAGGGAGACCATGGAACGAGAGGCTATCCTGGGCCCCTGGGGCCAAGGGGAATTGGAACAGTTGGTCCCAAGGTTGGTACAGTGCCTTGCTGAAGCTTTCATGCTCTTTTGTGATGCTGGCTGCCAGACTGTGATCTCTCAGACACCAAAATATCTTCAATGATTGATATACATTGCTGCAACTGCAGGAGAAATCAAATGTAAAAACATGGGCACTGGCTGCACTTTTCTACCAATCAGATTAGGAAGGAATACTAACTGGATGAAAATTGCAAATTGCATTCACAGCTAAACTCCATGAGATTTCAGCTGGAAGTTGAACAGAACTATCAGGCTGATAAATCAGTTAAATGATGCATTTTTTCTGTTTGCATCTGTTTGGTTTCCAAGAGATTCTTTTGAGGTGGAAAAAATGTGAATTTTCTGATTGCAATTTTTGCTCAAAGAAATTGAATGAAATTAATTTCATTATTAAAACCATTAGAAAAGAAACATGAAAACAAGAAGTCAATTCTGTAAGCAGCTAGCATGCAACATCCGGGCAATTTTTATCTCCATCCACTCAAGTGACTTAATTCAAAAAAGATACTGGTAAGAAAAGAAATTCAATGCATGCCTGGATTTCTTTATTATAGATGTATCCATCAATTATTTTTACAAAGGCAATGAGGAGAAACATTGTGTATATTTCTCCATTTTAACTTCAGTTAAAAATAGATATGCCTTCATAAGTTTTGCTGTGATTTCCTTAGCAGAGATTAGCAGACGTCTCCACTGCCATTTTGAATAAATTACTATCTGAATGGAGAAACATTGCTATTACCAACCTGTTACAGAAATGCAGTGAGTGACAGAGCATGAATATTTTCTCAGGATGTATGTTTGACTTCCCTTTGCTTTCTGAAAGCTGCAGCAATTTCAGTACCTTAGTAAATGATACAGACACAGTCTGTTCAAACAAAAGTAACTTTAAACTGAGTGTCAAAATCCTACAAATGTGCCACAAAGCCTTTGAGAAAGAAAAATATGTTCTTTGTAGGGGAACAAGTATGAGGACCTGCTCATAGCAGGTAGTTCCTGATATAAGATATTTAGCACATAAATAGCTTATAAATATATAGATTAACAGTATTTTTCACAAGAGATACTCTCGAAGTTTGTGGCAAATTTTTTTTCTACTCAGGAAAAACTGTGGAAAATATCACACTGTGTCATGGGCAAATTTTATTCTTTAATTATTTTTAGCTTAATTGTTCTTTTGCTTTCCTGGGAATTTGCCAGGCTTACAGTGAGAAACTATAGACCAAAGAGAAATCAGAACTGGTGGGTTTGAGAAGGTTTTATTTTTTGCATGCAATGACTTTGAGATGACTTCGAGATGACTTCCTTAGCATTACCATGAATAGAGTTTGCCTCCTAATTCTTCTTTTTTTGCTCCACTGACCATTACAGGCTATTATGGGACAGAATGGCTTGCCTGGTCCACCTGGCTCCCCTGGTGATAGCATACAAGGAAGCAAGGTAATCCAGGTCAATGTCATATCTGTCAGTTTCTTCTCAAAACTGTCCTTAAGGAGATTCATTGTCTGTTTTTCTCTTTGACACCATGTCAGTGAACTTCTGCAAATACTCATTGTACATTTAATTTTCCTGTTCATGGTATGTAGTACTTGCCTTAACTGTCGGGTTCAGCATGGAATTACTTCATACAAGCTTTACCAGAAAAGCAGCGATTCTTTCTGAATTTCTTTTGTTCATTACTTGCTCTGATTCCAGCTTCAATGTCTTCTACTTTCATACTCGTATTCAATCATTTCCTATTTTATATTGCAGAGAGCCCTTCCTTCTTTTACTGTATTTCATAGCATAAAACCTAATTTACTGTTTTCTTTCTTTTCTGCTTATCGTATAACTACCTTTAACAGATCTAATTTATCTTGTCTCAGGACTTCCCTAGACAGAGATCTCTACACAGTCAGAGTCATGACTGTCTAGACCTTTGGTTCTGATCTGTTTGTGGTTTTCCTCTGTATTAATTGTTATCGGTAGCCATGAAGATATTAAGTATTTTAATGTGAGGGCATAAGCAACATCTTCTCTCTTCTTCCTTTGTTTGCTGAATCTCTGAAAGCTATTTGCTCTGTTCTTGTGGAAAACAGAAACATTTCTGCTGTAATGATGGGGTGGATCAAACTCAGCTGATGTTGTGTCTATTACATTCCACAAGTTATGTTGGTACAGTCTTGTCATTTAAATTTTCTTCCCTTTAACATGTAAATTTTCTTCCCTTTAAAAAACATAATTTTTTAAATTATGATTATATTAATATAATTCTTAGGAACAACTTTCTGAACAACTTTGGCAACTGTCATGCTCCCGTAATATCTTTTTCCTCCATGCACTGATGCTTGTTGAGCTTCTATCTGTCTCTTCTGTCCATCTATCTCTTCACAGTTACTTCAAACTTCATTCTTTTTAGCCACTTAATAGCTTAAAGTTATTATACTCCTGCATTTGAAAAATCAGTATCACTCCAATTATTTTTTTATATATATACATAAAGCTCAGTCTACATATGGTAAGAACGGAATGTCAAAAATGAGATGGTTCTCAAGTAACTTTATGTTGATAGCTACATTTACGTGTCTTTTTTTAAAGCTCGGTTTCCTTTCAAAACCACAGTCTAGACATTCTTAGAACTGCACTCAGTTCATAGAATGGCATTTTTACATGGAAGTCTGGTCATTGATCAGTAATGTAGCAGGATATTAGGGTCAGGGATCCAAGGATCTGCACTTTTACGTGCATATCACTTTGGGTTTTATGATAAGAGTGATGGTCAAGTTTGAATTTAATTATGTACATGGGTTGAACTGGGAAAGCAATAAGTATTTTTAAATTAATGAAGCATACTTCTTGGCTTTTACTAAATGTTCAGTTATGGTATCTATGATAAATCCTTCTTATGTTGATTGATTGCACAACTAGAGAAACACAATTTGCTTCTACAGTTGACATATTGAACTCACATGTGTGCCTGTGAGAAATGTCAGCTGTACAGGTAGGGATTTTTTTTAGAACACTAGAACAACTTTTTAGACCTGCCTGTACACCATCTTAACAATGTCAAATGGGCTGCAACGAATGGCAACAATAAATCTATAGTTTTGTCAGATCTGACATTTATTATTAGTGAAGGACCACTAGAATACACAGCATATCTAATTCTGGATGGTATGCATCATGCTCTTCAGATCTGCAAAGGTGTTAATTGGGAAGCTGTGTGATGACTTAGTCGGGAAGGATTGTCAGTGCCAGTGCTGGAAAACAAACACTGGAACAAGCTGGCGCACTGTTTCACTATGTTTAAAAGCCATTTGCATTAATAACAGACATGAAAGACCCAGCAAGCACAGTACTGCTAAAAAGTGACTTCAAGTAAATTAGATTAAATAGTCACTGTGTGTTCCTACAACAGCGAAAAATAAATTGTCCTGTGCATCTGATTGCAATAGGAATATTTCCTATTTGCAGCAAGTGATTTCTTTTTTTTCTGGTAGTGAATCAGCTATGTAATTTGGTGCATCATAGTTTCTTTTCTCCAGAGTCTAAATAACAGTGTCTGAATTTTTGCTGCTCTAAGAAACTGGGGAGACGGGAAGGGAAGAAGTTCTTACAGAGGCAAGAGGCTGCTGGTCAGAACATCAGGGATAGATAGCCCTGATAATGAGCAGAGCATTTTAGCTCCCCACGTTGGGGCTAGTGGACCAAGAGGCTCCCACAGGGCAGGGCTGTAAGGGTAGTGCTGCAGTGTCAATGTGAATGGTGGAGCTCACTGAGTGCCTTTGCCTAGCATGGCCCAAGACCACCTTACGCCCCTGTGCAAGCAGAAGCTCCCATTTCAGCAGAAACTCAGTCAAATCTGGAATTTGGAATTTCAACAGGGGAAAAAACAACCATGGACCAGTATAATGCCGCATCTAGGAGCTGCATATCACATCTAACTCCTGGTGAACTCCCAGGACATGCGAGCCTTGAGTACAAGGAAGAGAAAGTTGACTTGCCTGTGCACTGTGCAGCTGCTTCTCCACCTGCAGAAATCCCATAGCTCCTATCTAGCACAGCAGGAATGGTCAGTGGTCAGTCCTGCTGCTCTAGTGTGCCTTTGGAGAAGGCTGGAGTCTTGATAAATTTGGAAACATTTTTATATTTCTCTGCCCATTATGAGCAATATAGCTCCTTTAGGCTGATTTGTGAGCAGCTGTGCAAGTATTAGTAGAAGATGCTTTAGTGAGACAGTGTGGGAGCTCTTGACTGAAAACTACAACTAACCTCGAACTTGCATCTCCTCGGCTAGGTTAGGTACAGGTGAGGACTGCTTCTGGTTTCATTGACATTCTCTGGAACTGTTTTTTGTATTTGCACTGGGCACTGCTGTTATGTGAATTATTTATGTAATGTCAGTTGTGGTGAAGATTTTATGTACCAGGAAATATAATCACCTCTAGCACTGTTTAAAATGTATACAGCAGTTGATCTGAAAAAAGGAAATAAATAAAAAACTGTGTTACTCTTATTAAAAAAAGCAGGAAAATTTCTGGAAGCCAGATGCTGTGAAGGATTTTCTGTGCGTATTTTATAACAGCTGTGGTTTATAGTATGTTGTATGCGCACACTGCTAGCATGAACATGCTTTTCAAGTCTGCATGCATGCAGCAAGGCATGTGTAACAATAATTACAAACAAATTTGAACTTCTGTAGTTGGACTGGTACTGTCTTTTGAAGTATCAGCAGCAAAATGTTCTGCTCTCCACACTGTGAAAAGCACGGATGTCTTTATTTGCTTAAGATAAGAAAAACTAAGTCAACCCTGCTGAGATTCTGGGTGCGTATTTCTAGAGAACCTTTATGTTGGACCTCATTTTACTTGTACACTGGATTAATAACTTTTTCCTTTCATCTATTTCAGTGAAATGACTATTTCATTTAATTAGTCAGGAATAATTCTTCATGATATGCTTTTTATAAAGGCTTAATGTATGTTCTGAATCATACCCAGCTGCATATTTATCCAGCTTTGGACCACTTCTGTCTTGAAAATTATGTACTTCATTGTGTAATATCTGGCTTTCTTGACGCAGAATGTTACAAAGTGAATAGATATAGTATAGGCTTTACTTTAGTTTTCAGTTAAACTTACTTTCCATTTTCTGTTCAGGGAGAAAAAGGAAATCAAGGTTTTCCTGGAGAAAAGGGATCAATAGGAATTGGCCTTCCTGGACCAAAGGTAAATCCTATGTTTGCGGTAAGAAACAAAAGGTTATTTTTTCTTCCTTTGTTGGTTATTTGGTGTGACAGGTCTTTGAAGATAAATAGAAGGCAGACATTGCAAGGTAAGTGCCCACTACTTACCGTCAGCTTTTGTGTCTGTAAAAATCCTAACTGTCCTTAATGGACCAGGCTCTGAAGTAAGATCTAGAATGACATCGTATCTGTTAGCAGGAGAGTAATACTAGTCAAATTATGTGTTCAGTTATCTTAGGTACTTTTCAAGTATTACAAAATATTCTTTCATTTGCCAGGCTTTGACAAAAAAATGGGGTTTTTTTACTCATGTCTTTTAAGGGCTTTGTTTTATTTGACTCATTTCTTTTTACAATGATTGAAGCCCAAGCTTGAATTTTTCCTTACTGAATAACTTCCTGGTTGACATAAAATTGTAAGAATTTCCCACACATACCTATTCCCATGTAACAGATTTTGCACAAAGAGAATTTAAATACTTTGTCTCTTTATTAGTGATTTTCAGATGTGCAGCTTCTGATGGGAGCAGCCTAGAAAAAGCCTAGCCAAAGGAAACCGAGGCTCATGCTCAGTGTGGATGTGCAGACCAACTATGTGCATACACAAGTGGGAACAGTATGCCCAGGCAAAATGAGCCTTGTTGTAAATGCATGATGCAGTACACCACCTTTAATTCACAGCATCTGCCTGGGCAGCTGGGCAGCCCCTCTGCAACAATTACAACATAGCTGAAATATTGACTATACTGTGAAGAAAAAACCCATGGCAGTCTTCATGGGAAAGCAGAGAGGCTCCCTAACTTTAAGAAGATACCCAAGTAAGAGTTCAGTCCTCTCTGTAGTCACCTGAGACAGGCAGTACCCATTGAGAGCCCCAGCCATTTATTGCCTGCATTAGCAATGTTCATGGTACTATGGTCTACACTAGCTCACATTATCTAGCACTTTCTTGAACTTCTGTGTTATTCAAGCTACTATAGCTTGGAGCTTTGATGCGACAGTGAAAATCAAGCTCTTTCATGCAGATTCAAATTTCTGCCTTCTAATTCTGTTTTCTCTCAGACGCCAAATGCTACATACTGTAATAATAGTTGCAATATTTTTGCTGTTCTTTATATTCATGTTGTATCTTGATTAATCTTTGTGACCCAATGTAAATCTCTCCAAATACTCAAAATTCTTCTGTTTTCTCTTAATATAGCAGACTTGTCACACATGAAAAAGAATGGTTTAGTTCAGTAGGGCTTTCATATAAGTGCCAAATACCAAAGAGATCAGGTTTTAGTATATTTATGTGAACAGAATAGCAGTACCACCACAGTCAGCAGATCATATTTGCCCTCCGTTCTGCTGACATTAGCTTTGATGAGGTTAGATTCAATTCATGGACAGGTAATGGAAAGTAATATCCTTTGCTGGATGTCACAATTTTGTGAAATAGTATAGGAACTGTCTTCCAAGAGCTTACTTAGTGGAGAAGGGTTATCTTAATGCTGTGGAGGAGCTACGTACAACTTTCAGGTTTAGACCAGTTTGAGTAAGATCAGAATCAGACTGAGAGTGACAAAAGGGTTCCTTAAAATTGATAGCAACCATGATGGTAAACCCTGTAGCAGGGAGTTATATGTGTGATTTCACTGGCTGGGTAATAATGTTGAATAATATCAAAATGGACAGTAATCTAAATAACTTTCTAAACTTTAAAGCTTCAAGTGAAATGTAAGGTGGTCAGTAACTTCCAGAGAGAAGTAAAAAACTGTCCTTCACAATCTTCTTGAAGAAATGTCTGATTTACAGCCTGAATCCTTTGATAGTATGCTTCATAACTGCATTTTGTGAGAACTCTCTCTTGAAATACCGTAACGTTGAACCCTTTCTCCTTTTGGAAATCAAAAGGTCTGGTCACTTGAGGGAAAAAGTGCAGAATTGCTTATAAATGTGAAACTACATATTTTCCAACGGCTGTAACAGTCCAAGCATGCCTTTCTCCCTGTTCCTGCAGTTCCCAGTTTTTTGTGGGGGTTCTATACAAAGCTGAGGTGATTTTCAGTACATTGGCTGATCTGAGGCAGTTTCATTTCTCCATGGGGCTGAATTAATATAGGTCCAGTATAAAGATTGGTTAGAGTTCAAGAAAATTAAAGAAGAGTAAATTATAAATTCTAGACACTTGTCTAAAGATGTCTTTACCACTCAGTCCTCAATTAAGGTAATTTTTCATAACAATTTTTAGAGATGTTTTCATTGCCCATCTTGCTTTCTCTGAGAGCCTGCTTTCAGGTATTCTCTTCATAATACATACAAGATAAGCCAGCCACAAACACACACACAAAAAATTACATCAGAAAATTTATGTTAAAGCCTCATTGAACCAGAAAGCCAGTTCTGACTATCAACAAAACCAGAGTTACTGACTGTGTTTAATACAGTTGTTTTAAATTAGGGAGACTATGAAGACAAAGGTGATCCAGGGAGCAAAGGTGCCAAAGGAGAGATTGGAGACCCAGGACCTCCAGGACCAAAGGTAAACCACTTTTTTGTATTACTTAATTTTACATGATAGGAGTTAGACAAATCTGGCTTTTGTTTATCATCTCACTCTACACATTTTCGGGGAATTTGGGGAAGAAAAGGTGAACCAGGTCTTTCAGTAAGTATGTAAATGAATTAATTTGAAAGACAGAAGTTAATTTGGGGATAATATTTAAAGGTTACATGACGTTACACTAGATTGTTTATGCAGCATTGCATTGCCTGCATTTTTGTAAATAAATACATAGAAATCAGCATTCTTAAAACTCGAACACACAGCAAATTAATTAATACCCTTTTTTTTTAGGAAGAAGAAGTTATCAGACTTATCAATGAAATGTGTGGTAAGTGTTCCAGTATGGGAAAAAAATATTTCTAATAAAACACATTGAATTTATGTTGACTGAATGGATTTGTCTTCTGCATTATTGTGTGTAAGGATACCACTGGTGTGAAAATGATGCTCAGTATGCTGCCAGAACTGTACTGCAAGTAATTTGGTCAAGCTCTGTTTCTGTTTATCAGTGTATCTAACTATAAATTAATTCATTAATTTAGCTTTAACTGTAAATCTGATATATGAGTTCAGTTCATTGTTATGAAGGTGGCTGCTTATAAAATGTTTGAAATTGTTATTTTCTAGGTTTTGGTATCAGGTGTAGAGTAACATCACTGGAACTAGTATTTGTCATTGACAGTTCTGAAAGCGTTGGACTAGAAAACTTTAATATTATCAAAACTTTCATGAAAACAGTCATTGACAAGGTATCATCCGACTATGCTACAACCCGCGTTGGCGTCATCAACTTCAGCCATAAAGTGGAGCTGATGTCTTCTCTGAAGGAGTACACATCCAAGGAATCCCTGAAATCAGCTGTTGACAACATGCCCTACTTCGAAGAAGGCACATGCACAGCTTCTGCTATCCGAGAAGCCATTCAGTTATTCCAGGCAGCACGCCTGGCAGTAAGGAAAGTGGCTGTTGTCATAACGGATGGGCAAGCGGATCATCGTGATGACATACAACTGGACCCTGTAGTAAGAAAGGCCCATGCTGCAAATATTGAGATATTTGTCATCGGGATCATTCAAAGGACTAAATCTCATTATGGTGATTTTCTGAAAGAAATGCAGCTCATTACAACAGACCCTGATGAAGAACATTTTTACCAGATAGATGACTTCATGACGCTTTCAGGTAAAAGAAACAGTTTTACTAAGAAGAAACTTGAAATAAACATCTAAAAGAGTCTGGCCTTTCCTATAGCAAGGCAAGGTGGCCTGCTGAATGGCAGCTTATGCTTCTCTTTCAGGTGCAGCTCTCTTCTGTTTCTCTTCTCTGGCCAAATTTTTTACCTCTTGCAGAAACAATAAAACACAGTGAACGTCATTTTTCTGAGCCAAGACCTTCTTTGAGGCACTCCTTTTTTGTGCGAGTATGCGCCAGCCTTTCCCTGCAGTCCTTTTGTGCTTGGCCACGGTGCAGATTTCTTTCCAAGCTCATGCAACATCTTTGTATTTTTCTCTATTTCATATGGCTCTTGTCAGCCTTGGAGTCCCTCCACCATCTCCTACAAGCACTCTTTTGGTGTTTTGGTTTTTTTTCTGAAAGCCAGAGAGGAACCTACACTTTCATCCTGATTCTAGGAGACAAGTGGTGGAGCAACACACAAGGGAATGGGGTCTGGTAGCACATTGGATACTTCAAACTGTGGCTTGAAAAAATCCTGTGGCCACAGCTAGAATCAGGAGAAAATCCAGAGGAAACCTATAATGGCCCATGACAAAAAAAAGGACATCGATCTAGACTAACCACAGACTAGTCCTATAGCCCTATAAGGTACATTTTTCCTGAATATAAGTTATTTTGCTATGCTGAGCTTTTGGATGGAGTTAAGGCATTAACAGTAAGAAGAGAGTCCAAGCTAAAGTTCTGGTCCAAGCTGGGATTAAACAGGGCTCTGACTCAGGCTCAAGCACTCAACATAAAAGTAATCCCAGTCACCGATTTCTTTTGTGCAAGTAGAATATGTCACCCAGTTTTTCTTTTTCCTTTTTACATGCAAACTCTTACTTTCCTTCACTCTTTTTTTTTTTTTTTTCTCCTTCACTGTTGAGCCATGACTTCTGCTTTAGGAAAGGAACTTAGTATTTTTATCTGTTTCTTCTTGAAAGAACAAAAGCGCCTTAAGATCAAATACTTCAGAGAGTGGATTAGTTTGTTACTTCCCATTTGTATTTTGATAGTCCTTCACAAGACACTACCATTAAAGATTTAGGGTTAATACTGCACTAAAAGCTTGTGGTGAATCATTATGCCTTTTTTTTTTGGTGAATCAAAATGACTTTTTTGTTAATCTTTTCAGCTCTTGAAAATAAACTGATCACAAAAATATGTGAGAATATATATGAAGTCTACACCAGAAAAGATAATGGTTTATCACCAGCTCCAAGTCCAGAATCTGAAATTGCTAATGAAGATAATAATAACCAGTTACCTACAATTACTACATCAGAGACTTACATGCTCCCTACAGAAGGAGTCAGTTACACAGTAAGTAAAGAAGTAACAGTTATCAAATGTTTTTAAAAGGTATGTCTTTATTTGAATTCAGATACTCTTTATTTCACCATTCTCCAATCTTTTAATATGCAAATAATGTGTCAGACCAAAAGGCTGGAACAAGACTTTTAAAGTTTGAGTGAACTTATCTGTCAAGAATAAAAATAAATCAAGAAAGCTTTAAATTAGATATGTTGGG